CTTGATAAACAAGGTTCAAAATGCATTTGAACCTTAGTCATTTTTATTCTCTATGAGTGTACTTATGTTCTTAACCTATATACCTAGTTTATTTTGTCTTCATCTTTTAATGACAAGCATGACATAGGAAAGTCATTTTTTTAAATTCATGAATGGATCTGATCTGCTCTAAATAGTGGAACATGTAAATATATTGAAAACTGTTTTTCAGGAGATAAGTAAAGGTTGAAGGAAAGGAAAAGTGGTTTACTTGTGTTCCAAAATCCTCATCAGAGAAGATATTATGTTCTCAGATATGGAAAATGTATTTCAGTTGATTGAGAGTACAGGTTTAACAGAAAAGATAATGATTGCCAGTTTTCCAGACTGGGTTTTTATATCACAGCTGTTTAGTATTTCTCAGAGTTGATGAAGGACCACTTTTGTGTATAAACTTGTCAATTTCAACCTTGCATTGGTAACACTGACCTACTTCAATCCAGGTAGAATTCAAGATGGCTATGTCTTTTGGCTGTATGATAAAATTAATGGTTCACATGACTGTGTGGCATCTAAAAATAATATGTTTTTACAGCATCTCTCTTACTAAATTGTTGACTTGAATTTTGAAAAAAAGTTGGTGTTGATATGTATATGTGTGTGTGTATATATGTATTTATAAACAAGTGTGTGTGAGTAACAAGTGAGTTACATAGTCTTCCCCTACGCATGTGTATTCCACACATAAATGGCTGAGTTATAGTCACAAAACAATTTGCAATAAAAAAATTTATTGTCAGTTAAAACAAGAAATAGTTAAGTTTTTAAATGAATCTGGAGTTGTGATGAGTGAACACTTTAAGAACTTTCATTGCCATATTAATTTAGACTAATTTTGAATAGTATCATAATTTGTGTCTAAATTTGGATTAGGGTAGAAATTACTAAAATTGTAGAGCTCTGTTTCTGATTTTACATTGTGAATAGAAAACATTTCTATTCAACTACCATAGGTTAAGTGAATAGTTTTCTTTATTCCATTTTCTTTATTCCTGTTTTGGGGTTTTGTTTCTGTTTTCTCTGCTTTTTTGTTGTTGTTAGTGGTCTCAAAATTCCGATCAATAACTTTGTATACGATGCTGAATTATAAACTCTTTGAAAACCCGTACCTCTGCTTTCCTTGGCCCAATTTTGGAAGGGGTTAATTTCCCTTCATGCCCTTTATTATACCAATCTAAGGGAAGAATAGGTAATAGGGAGAAATAGATGTCTGTCCAGTGGCTTTGGTCATGTCCCCACAGGAGAACCAACCATTCAGTTGTCTTTATAGTTCATTCCACTCTGAGGAGTTTCCTTCAGTTGTTAACTTTTTAAGATGTTGCATTAAGTAATAGTTATCACTTGTTGGTTTCATGTTCGTTACGAGTCAATCAGACTTTCATGATTTGTAAAAATTATTGAGTCATGCACTACACCCTTTTCCTAATTTTTTAAAAGAAGTTAAGCCACTTTTCTCTTTTCCTCAGCCCACACTCACTCCCCAACCCATGCCAACATTGCTATGCTGTCTGTGGACAAATAGAGTTTCTCGAATCTTGAAGCCAGTTGTTACAACCCCTTTGCCTTGGTCTTTCATGATAGGTGCACATATCCTTCCTTCTGTGCAGTGCTGCCTGTGTGTACACATCTGGAGAGAGCTCTATACACACAGAAAATAGCTATTTGGCAGGGTTGAAGTGGCTTTTAATTGCTATGTGGGCATTGTTGGACACATCTCTTTTTTAAATTCTGATACTTAACCATGCCACACTTGGTTGACTGTTTTGAGCATTAAATTTTTTCTATTATTGATTTAGAATATTACAATTCTATATCATTACTGACTTAAGAAAGATTCATTTATGCTTCTGAAAGATGTGATTTCTTGGGTAGATGTTCCTTTGAAACAAGTGTGTGAAATTGAAAATATATCCCAGCTGTAAATTAATAAATATGGAAAAAGCATTGTTTCTAAAACAATTTCAAGTACATAAAACTTTCAGGATCTTCAGGACTTTTTAAAGCACGTTTGCATTTATTTTAGTAAGAATTTCTTTTTGTAAGTACATGTTGAATTCTGTTTTTTAATTAAACACAAAACTTAGATTTCAGAAAGAGGGAGGGAGACTAGCTGGTGGTCCCAGAGTGTGCTGCTGTTGTTTAATTAACAAAGGGGAAAATGTATATAAACAGATATAAAAGTTACCATAAATTCCATGAACTTAAATCTGTGATTCATTGCCTTAAGACTTTCTCTCTTAGGATTTCCATACCGCATGCCAAACCAGTAAAATGGCTTTTAAAAATGTATAGTAGACCAATGTCAGTTTGTATAAAAGTACCAAGTGAAAATATTTATTACATGCATTGGAAAAAAATTGTTTACCTATTGAATGTTACCTGTTTATGTAGAGCTCTTTAGATGTAATAAAAGAAAAGCCTTCAGTTAATTTGTCTTCTGTAAAATAATATTACTGGGTGGACCAAGGGACAGTCCCAATGAGAAAAGTGACAGTGCTTTGTGATTCCAAAGCCCCTTTCATCCCGAGATTTCAAAGCATGATGAGCACCTAATAGGCTTGCAGCTGCTTTGAGGTAAGTAATTAATACATGGCCACCATTTCCCTTTCTTATTGAAATATGGCAAGCTTTGTAATGAACCACAACATCTCTTTAGTTTTAAATCTGTTTAATACCTGCAGTTTGCTGAGAACACTGTGACTGTTTTTCTAAAAGCACCAGGTGCCAGGTAAGCCAATCAGAATTTCAAGAATGAGCATGAAACCAGGACTGAGGGAGCTAAAAGCCTCTCCTGGGGCTGAGGTAATTTCATAGGAACTTAACTAGCCACCCCGACCCTTGAAAAGGACCATGAGGCAGGGGTTCTGATGACCACCCTGCCCACTGCGTGCTTTTAGCAAGCTATACTTCATGTTCCTGTTAGGCAAAGGAGATTCCTAGAACTTGCTTTAAAATCATATTCTGGCCAGTGACAAATAGAACAGAGCTTTGTTATTATAGTTCAGAATTTCCTTTTCCTGTTCCATCAGTATTTATCACCTGTCTAGATTTGGTATTCCAGATTGGTTTTGCTTCCTAATGTTGGTGACTATAGAGTTTAAAAGAAGCGTTTGTTTGGGACCCTTGCCTGACAGTGAAATACAGCAGATCTCTCTTGGAGGCCAAGTTCCAGTGTGCCTTCAAGTGGATTTACTGTTTAGATAATGAAGTTTTAGTGTTCAGTACCCTGACTTGCTCTTAACTCCTCCAGGGTCCTGAGTGCTGCCCCAGAAATTGTGTATTGTATTCTTTCTCCCTCCCTCCCTCCCTCTATTTTTTTCCTCTGGCCCCCTCTCCCTCCCTCTAGCCCTCTTTATTTTGAGATAGGGTCTTGCTAAATTGATGAAGTTCTTGCTGAGGCTGGCCTCAAACTTTTCCTGTCTCAGCCTCCCAAGTTGCTGGGATTATAGGAGTGTGCCACTGCACCTGGCTATTTCTGTTTATTATTAAAGACAACCACCAAGTCATATACACCTCAAATCCCTTAAAACCTACATCTGCTCCTGAATGGGTGGTCCCAACTCCCCAGCTGGATGATCACAAATTCATTTAGTTGGTATGTGGGCCATTTCTTGCCTCCCCGGTACCCTAAAAACACTTATTTACAGCTAGGGCATTTCTGTTCAACTCCCCTTGGCAATTATACTATTGGGGAAATGATAGCCTCCTTTCTCAGGACCTCAGTTTGGTCTCATGCCATGCAACATGGATGAGATGGTTGCACTTAACCTGTGCAACCTTTATTAAAAGATCGGTGTCATATATAACCTTCTAAAAGACATTCCCCCTTCTTAATCTGGTTCTCTGATGTTTCAGCCACAGCCTAATTTTAATAAATAGATAAAAATATTCCTGCTAGGGGGTCTGTCCCCCACCCATGTTACTCCTGCCCTTTTTAGGACTGTGCCAACAGTATCCCTAGGCCCTCAATTTGACAAGTGCATGGACATCTCTGAGTCCCAGGCAGCCCCGCCTGCCACTCGTGACTCTGTAACTCAAAGTTACTTGAGCTGGAAGTGCTCCCAGAAGGACTGTTGCCTCACAACTGTTTCTAGCCATCTTGTACCATGGCCATGACCTAGAAGACGCCTCCTAGTGACATCCTCCATGTTAGTCCCAGCTTAAGGTTATGATCAGTTTAGGTCACTTGAGCACATCATCCTACTTTCTGGAATTTCTGGGCCTGCAAACAGCCCAGTGCACAGCTCAACATTTTGACAGTATTGCTACCCTGTTCTCTGTTGATAAATGAGTGTCCTGAACCCTGTCACTCTGTTGAAAAGGAGAAGAGAATTTGGGTCTGTGGTGCTTCAAGGTGAGAGTGTGTGTGTGTTTGTTTTCACTCTGCTTGTTGCCATTTCTCAGCTAGCACTGGCTCTATCTTGAAAATGTGGAAAGTGGTTCTAGCACCCAAATAAACACTTATTTATAGCTAGGGCATTCTGGGTAGCCTGCTCTCTTCAGGAGAAACACCATAATGGGAACTCGGATTCCACATGTCCTTCAGGCTGCTGTGCATTTTCAAGGCCCTATCTATCTCCATCCTTCCTCAATGGGCTCCTTGAGGTAAGACTAGAGATCCAGGCTTTGTCTGAACCCTAAGGCCCTCAGGGATGAAATCATAGAGCTGGTAAGAGGCAGACCCAGGACTGGAATGTAGGCCCAACTAAACCAACAGGAAGGGCTGGACTCATGAGAGCTACTGAAATCAACGCAAATCTTTGTGGGAAAGGAGGCACTAAGGATTGAACTCGGGGCCACTGGACCACTGAGCCCCATCCCAGCCCTATTTCACATTTTATTTAGACAAAGGGTCTCACTGAGTTGCTTAGCACCTCGCTTTTGCTGAGGCTGGCTTTGAACTTTCGATCCTCCTGCCTCAGCCTCCTGAGCCACTGGGATTACAGGCGTGTGCCACCGCACCTGGTAATACAAATCTTTTTATTAAAGACGTGCTGATACCATGGCTGGAATTACTTATTGCTACTTATGCCCAGCTAATGTTGTCTTTGCACCATGTTTGCCATCACCCTAGAATGAAAGGAACATTTTCCTTTTAAAAAATCAACCAGTCCAGGTTTTCAGATCCAGGGATCATCTCCTGTACTCTGCTCAATCAGTAGTCCTGCACAGGAAGGGTGATCTTCTGGATAAACTCGTCATACTTCACTTTGCCATTTGGTTCAATATTTGCTTCCTTGAAAAGATCCTCCACTGCAATAAATCACATGAAATTTTTGTTTGGATTTGGGGTTATAAGACACTTCTTTTGAGGTTGGGGCTCCCCAAAGGTCTTCCTGAGCATCCAGGGAACTTCTTGTACACCAGGGAGTAAACCAGAACAGACGACAACCTGCCCACTCCCATCTGGAAACCACTGGTTTGGTTTGGCTGGGCAGGAATCCTGGCGAAAATCCAGTCACTGAAGCCACCTCGTGTTTTTATTCTTTTGTTAGTTGTTGATGGACCTTTATTTTTATTCATTTATTTATATATGGTGCTAAGAATCGAACCCAGTGCCTCACACTTGCCAGGCAAGTGCTCTGCTCCTGAGCCCCAGCCCCAGCCCCCACCTCTTGTTTTCTGTGAAGATCTCAGACCTCTGAGCCTTGGTTTAGAGAAAGAGTTGGCCCAGACATTTTGTCTGCTATCACCCACCCCTCTGCCCGCCACCATAGGTATTTTCTGCAGCTCCCTTCTGGACAGAGCCACCCAGGCTTCAGCTGCCCCTCACCTCCCCACTCCTCCATGTCAATGTTCCTCCCCAAGATACCTCCATGCCAGAAGGGCCCAGTGATAAGCGCTTCTTCTACCACCACCTCTGAAGAAAAGCATAGGGCAGGAGTGCAGCTCATGGGTAGAGCACGTGCCTTACACCAATAAAAAAAAGATATGTATTTTGGGCCTGGGAAAATAAATCTAACAGCGTGTAAGGCTCAAAGCTTGCAAAACTGCTGTTAATTCTGCCTTGCTTAAAAAATAAAATAAAAAATTTCATTTGCATTTCCCCCCTCTGGTTTTAGACTTCTGAGATAAAATAGTAGCTTGTCCCAGGCACTGGCAAGAAGAGCCATTCAGTTTATCCTTTTCCACTGTGGCCTCTCTTCAATAAAACTGAATATTTTTTTTCAATCACCAAGGATAAGGGATTCCTACTTCTTTGGGGCTGGGTTGTGGCTCAGCGGTAGAGTGCTCACCTAAGCACCAGCGAGGCGCTGGTTTTAATCCTCAGCACCACATAAAAATAAATAAATAAAATAAAGGTATTGTATCCAACTACAACTAAAAAAAAAAAAAAAAAAAGGATTCCTACTTCTGTTATCATCCTTTCTCCCACAGCAAGTGGGAAGGAAATTGGTCTCCACCACTTTCTTTGAAATGTTCTTTGCAGGTTAAACAAATAAGAGATGTGTGTTTGGGGGCCGTGGTGTTGCTTTGGCCAGAGATCATTAACCACAGAATCAGGACCCCCTGCTCTCTCTGCTGAGACTCCACCTGGCACATGGAGGGCCAGCAGTGTCCTCAGAGCCTGGGAGGTTGAGGACAGCCCACGATTCCCCCTGTTCACTTGAAAACAGCCACAGTGAAATATGAGACTGTGATAGCTGCCAGCCTCAGAACGTGGGGGAAGAGGAATCTGCCTGCCCAAAGCGCTATTTTTAAATACTTTGCTCTGTGCCTTTGTGAAGGCAGATAAAATCTGAGCAGAAGGGTTTATAGAATGTGAGCCTCTTGGAGGGCCCTGAGGGATGGTTACTACCTCATTTCCAGGGAGTAAGGAACCTGTGGGAGGTCCCCGCGCCCCAGAGGAGGGGGAACCGAACCCCCTGCAGTGTTTGTTGGGATTTGGCCAAAGGCTGATGGTCAGTTGTTACTGAAGCCCTTTTCCTACACCCACTGTGGCCACGCCTAGCCTTCCTATCCAGACAGTCGCTGACAATTGAGCTGCCTAAGTAGAAACCCTGGCCTCCCAGGGATGCCAGCTGAGGCAGGACCCAGGGACTACCAACTAGTGCTGAGAGGCAGGAAGAATACCCACAGATGGATCAGTACGGGGTTTTTCATTACCAGGTACAAAGGATTTCCCAGAAGGCCCAAGGCCCAGGCCCTGGTCCTGCTCCAAGGCAGGAAGGCACGGGCCTGCTAGGAGGTGTGAGGCAAGGTCTATTCTCCACTTGACCCTGCAAAGGCCCCTCAGAGCCCCCTTCTTGAACTCTAAATCTTCCAGAGTCAGCAGCAAAGTAGCATTTCCATTTGGAAAGCACGCTGCAGCCCTGTTCAGCTGGCTGTGATATGGGGACAGCACTTGACCTCCATCCAGCTCCCAGCTCAGCTGACCCACAACCACTCACTTGTCAGCTTCTTTTTTTTTTTTTAATATTTATTTTTTGTTGTTTTTGTAGTAAGTGGACACAATATCTTTGTTTTATTTATTATTTTTATGTGGTGCTGAGGATCGAACCCAGGGCCTCCCATGTGCTAGGCGAGCCCTCTACCGCTGAGCCACAATCCCAGCCCCTGTCAGCTCCTTTTTTTGGGGGGTGGAGTGGTGTACTGCGGACTGAACTCAGGGGCATTCGACCACTGAGCCACTGAGTCTCACTGAGTTGCTTGGCAACTTGCTTTTGCTCAGGCTGGCTTTGAGCTCTGCTGGAATTTGAGGCGTGTGTGGTCACGCCCAGCCTCATCAGTTCCTTGATCAGGTAAAGGGACACTCATGTTCCCCAGGTGTCCTGTGCACTAAATGAAGATCCAGTGAGCTTAGGCACAGCATGAGGCGGGGCAGATGACCCACTACCCGGCTGCCCAAGTGGATCCAAGCTGGGCTTTCCCCAGGCTGACCCTCCACCCTGACCACTGGGCCTAGACCAGTCCTCAGCTAGTGTGATTGCTCCTGGGCTTTGCAGCTGTATATCAACTACAGAAGCCTACACAACCATGATGGCATTGATGGTACTTTGGTGAACTCCCCGAACTCCCTAACCCTCTGCAGACATTGGGAGACTGGTCAGGCAATTAATTACCTTCCTTCTGGGTGAGCTTCTCCCCGAGTCTCGTGAGTTTCGCCCGCAGCTCGGATGCCATGATGTACCCTTTTTTCTCCTTGTCTGCCATCAACATGGCCAGAAGAATTTCTTTCTTTGGATCCTCTTGTTTTATTTGCGTGTGCATAATAGTCAGGAAAGTGGAGAAATCCAGCTCTCCGTTTCTGTCTATGAAACCCCCAAATAGCAGAGTGAGCAGGGAGGGAAAGGCTCTTGGGGAAGCCAACCTACCTCCTTGTACCCTCGTCACCGCCAGCTCCACCTGGTTCACCATGGTGACAGTGGTCATGGTGAAGAAGACACAACCTCCGCTACTGAGTTCCCACCATGGACCAGCTCCTGGACTGGATATTCTTCATTTCATCCACCCAGTGACCCTTGGTGACCATGGTTATCATCCCCTCGTTTTGCCTCCTCAGGGGACAGAAGCTTATAGTGTGTAGTCACAGTCATCACCAACTGCTCAGCTTTCCTCTGGTGCTTCCCTCCTCCCCTGAACTGGAAGGAACTGGGTCCATGTGTCCCCCCCACACACACACTTCTGCCACCAGAGCAGGTGTCTGAGGAGAGATAAGTGCCCCGCCCCCAGCTCAAGCCTCAGGTCCTTCCCCACCTGCTCCTGTGCCTTTCCCTCCCTGCAGCCCCCTCCAGGCATGTCCGGAAGCCTTTGCCCACACACTGGCCTGGCCACAACAGCAGGAAGTCAGAACTTCCCCTGACCACAACTTCCTGTTTAGAGGAGACAAAAACCACCACTCCTTCAGAGCTGAAAATGAGACCACTGAGTGCCCTATCACCAGGCTCTGGCCCTCCAAGACCTGCCCCAGGATGGCTTCTAGGGCTCGTTGCTGCAGGTGTGCTAATGTGACCTCTAGTGCCCCGACAGATGCTGAGAACCAGAGACAGAGGTGATCTGGGGGCTCCCAGTTAAATGCTGGAAGCTGGCCACTTCTTCCTGTAGGCCAGTTCCCCCTTCCTGGGCATCCAGCTCCCAATGTAAATAGACACCCCAGACTTTAAAAATAAAATTAAAAACAAATCTCCCAAAGAAATCACAAAGGGGCTGGGGTTGTAGCTCAGTGGTAGAGTGCTTGCCTAGCACATGTGAGTCACTGGGTTAGATTCTCCGCACTGCATAGAAATAAATAAAATAAAGGTTCATTGATAACTAAAACTTTAAAAAAAAAAAAAAGAAAGAAAGCACAAAACTTGTTTCTGATAAGAGACCTATCTGTTCCCATTGTTGAAAATACAGGGAACAATAAAGGGAATGAAAACCAGCCTTAATCCTATCACCAGAGAGAACCACCTTCCAAGAGGGTTTTCTTCCAGTTTCCTAGCAGTCATGTATGGTTTTCAGGAAAGTCTTTGAAATCAAAAGAACTGAGTTCCAATCCTGATTCTACCATTGGCTTAGGTACTTGGGCAAGTTACCTATGGCTGTGAGTCTTGATCTTTGCCTGCAGAGTAGGATCAGGACAGCCACCCTCTTGGGGTGATTTGAGCTAAGCGTTTGGTAGATGTTCACCAAAGGGACATTTTTCTATAAAAACAACATTGGGATCACTGGCAGCACTGTTGCTCTATAGGTCTGTGATAAACCTGATGGAATGGCCAGACCCAGGGCCCCTGCAAGGTGGGGTGTCACCTTTGCCTTGAGGATGAGGCAGAGTGCACTTGGCCAGCTGCCTCCTGGGAGATTCACTGCCCCCTGCCTCTCTAACCTGTGAGCCCTACACACCCCACCCTCTGTGCCACCCGCTCGCCCCTCCCGGAACCCGCTCAGCCCACTCACCTATCCCGTGGGTCTGCAGGTGCCGCTGCACCTCCCCAGGCGTCGGGCTGGCTCCCAGGCACCTCATGGCCACCAGGAGATCAGTGGCTTTTATCTTGCCCCTCTGCTGCTTGTCGTACAGGGAGAAGCATTCCTTGTATTCTGCACAGGAGGAGGGAGGACCAGCTGTGTTCACTCACTCTCCACCCACCCCTTCTCTGCCCTCTTCCCTGGGACCCAGGCCCCCTTTTATTGCAGTACTGGGGATGGAACCCAGGTCCTAGCTGCACCCCAGCCCTCCTTCACACTTCTTTTCCCCTTCCTTTGGCCCCCTCCCCACACTTATCCCCAACCAATGTTTCTAGATACAGCAAAGGAAAACACAAAACTTCCAAGTTCAATTTGAATTCAGAGAAATGGTGAATTTTTAGTGTAAGCATGTCCCAAGTTTTGCATGGGATATACTCACACTAAGAAAATATTTGTGTTTATTTGAAGTTCAAATTTAACAAGGTGTCCAGCATTTTATGTGGCAACCCTGCCTCACTCCTCCTTTTCCTTCCTCAGTCCCTTTCTCTCCCTTCCCACAGCTAACTGAAATACCCTCCACCCACCCCCACCCCCACCCCCGGGCTTCCCAGGGAGGGCTAGCGCCCACAGCCAGGCAGCCAGACTCAGAGGAAACAGGGAGCCTGGCGACAAGTGGCTCTCATGTTTAACGATTTACTATCATTATTATTATTACTACTACTACTACTACCACTGCAGCTGAGGGCATTTCTGAGTGCCTGGCCCAGCCCTGGGCCTCCAGGCTGCTGGCCCCTGAAGCTGTTTGCCCTCTGACACAGCCTGGGCCTGGTTTCAAAGCCTTCAAGGGAACTGCTGGGAGGTGCCCTAGGCTCTGAACCTAGGTGGCTGGTGACTCTGCCCCGCGGCCCTTTCTTTCTTGATACTTAGCAAGATGAAGTGGCTGCCAGAGCTCAGGCTGCGCTAGTTACAGTATTCCACAATCCAACAAGACTATCCTGCGGTTCCCAAACCCTGGAAGCTGAAGAAAGCCAGTCAGGAGCTTGGGAAAGGTCCCAGGCTGGAGACTGGGATCCTGACTCTGGTGAGGGTGGGCTGCCCTCTGGAGGTGCTCTGGGACCCTGGCCCTGGCCTTCCAGCCTGGGCTCCATGATCTGTTCCTCTACTGCCTTCACACCTGGGTGGATCCTCAGAGACCTGGACTAGGGACTTGCTAACTAGTAACAGAAATAACAAGGGCAGTTCCCATTGCTGAGCCGGTCACCCCAGCCCTGGTTTACTCCTCACCCTCTGAGGGCACTGTCTATTCCTGCTTGGCAGGTGTGAGGCCATCCTAGAGCGGCCTCAAACCTCACCTAAGCAGCGTGACCCCTGAAGCGGAGCTCTGTCCACCAGGCAACACTGCCTCCGTCCCGGGACAGCAGGGTGGGGTGGAGACTAGGCAGAGTACATCCCCCAACCCCGTAGCCCAGGCCTAGGGTGGCTTTGTGTTCCTTAATAAAGACCCTCAGTCCTCTTTCTGGTGTGGTTCCTGGTGTCCTCAGGGCCACCCTACTTTTTTGGGGGGGAGGTACTGAGGATTGAACCCAGGGGTGTGCTACTATGAGCCACCCACACTCCCTTTTATTTTTTATTTTGAGACAGGGTCTAGCTAAGTTGCTGAGGCTTGAATTTGTTATCCTCCTGCCTCAGCCCTCCAAGTCGCTGGAATTACAAGCACGCACCACCGTACCCTGCATTCCTTTTCTGTCTGGGTTTCTCAGGTGCCCTGGCTCTCCTGGCTGTTGTCCCTAACTGGCCAGAGCTGGAAGGCAGGGACAATTGTCTGGCTCTTCAGATGGGCACACTGAATCCCCTATGTGATCAGCAAGCAGGGCTCAAATGGAGACCCACCTCCTAACAAACAGATAGCTCAAGTGCGTTCTGTCTTCCTACTGCAACAAATAAACCTTTTAAAAACTGCAAGACCAGATCTGAACTTGGAGTTCCTACACTGGAACAAGAGAACAGGGCCACCTGGAGAGCAGCCCTGGCCAGGCTGGCCCCAGCACTCCCTCAGCACCTCTCCCCTCTCCCTGGGGTTCCCCCTCACTGTCCAGCCATCCCCACGCTCCATCCTTCACTCTCCTTCTGCCTTCCCCTGGGGCCCCTGAGAGGGGAGAGGTCTTCTATGGTTCATTGCTCTATCTCTAATGCAGGGAGCTGGGCTGGCACCAGGAAAGGACTCAAAAATTTGTTGAATGAAAGAATGAACAGGGTTAGATGAATTGGATTAAAAGTCCCCTTTAGGTTTTCTCTTGGGAAATGCAAAAGTCCCAGAAAAGGCCTAGGAGAACGCCAGTGACGTGCTGGAGCACGTTTAGCAACAGCCCTGACGTGTATATACGTGTTTCCTACGCACTCAACAGAGGATGGGAAACACATGACTTACACACAGCAAAAAAGTCAACTCTAAAATAAAGTCAGTCTAGTTGATTGATTATCACAAGTGAGTTTCACCAATACTCAGGTTCACTGCTAACCTACAGTTTGGGTTCAACCATGATTTGACAAGGGAGGTTACCTGCCAGCTTCACTTGTCAAATCATGACAAAAGAAGGCAATTCTTTTCCCAATGAATTGAAATTGTGTTGTCATTCAATCTGATAAGCGATCTACTGTAAAACGGATTCTCGTGCTAGTACAAATTACATTCATTAAAGCTGAAACTTCTTTCAAATCTGGGGGCAGCAGGGCTGTCTTCTTCGCTCTCTGTAGGGCTTGGCACATTGTTTGAGCCTATGTTATTTAACAGTCTCTGGCTCTGACAACTGGCTTGTGAAATTCCTAAATATGTAGCTCTCATATGCTGGCAAGCTTCTAACTTTGTCCCTAGCACACAGAGGCCAGATGAGGCGGCATCCCTCTTCCTACCTCACAGGTGAGAAAACTGAAGCTCAGGTAGTTGGATTCTAGGTCTGCTGCCTCCAAAGCTCCTGTTCTTCCCACTGTCCCTGTTTAGTCTTTCATTCATTAAACATTAGTGGTCCCTTTCTTGGTGCCAGAGACTCGGATACCAAGAGAAATGATCTTCTTTCCCTTGGGGAGTTCCAGAGGCCCCAGGAGGGGGAGCCAGGGAGCCTCATGTCCAGGCGTGGGTGGAGGACACAGGCTGAGAGCTGGACTCCAGCCCAGACCTGCCATTCAGTGTCACCTATAGAGCTGGGGAGGAGGGGCCCTGCCCTGGGCCTGGCACTTTAAAAGCCCCCTGGCATGCTCTTTCTGGTCTTGGCCTGGTTTAGGGGTAAGGAGTCAAGACAGGGGTCTGTGGTTAGGTACCAACCTGGAGCCCACAACCCCACCCGTCCCTTCTAGACCCAGCTCCGGGTACCCAGAACTCTAGAATCCCAGTTAACATGGAGCCATGTCCAGGGTCTGCAGAACCAAGGGCATCATGGGCCCAGGGTGCCTGCCGTTTTATCTCTAGTGGTCAGGAAGGTCTAGCTGACAATAGGACAGTTCAGCAGAGAGTTGGGGGAGGGGATGCTCAGGGGCCGACTACCAGTCCCAGGGCTGTCACTGTTGGGGCAGATTCTGGGGCACGGCCTCAGGAGCAGCTGCTACATTCGCCGTGGGGAGACCTCTTCTGCCCAGTGCTCCGGACCAGCCCCCGCAGCCCGAGTCTGGCCCCAGTTCTGTGTAACTCAACCCTCTCCTCTTGGCCTTGTGGAAACAGCCCAGCCACACGAAACTGAAGGACCCAGAGAGGAGAGTGTTCATGCTCAGACTAGGCAGAAGGGCCCCGGCTGACCCTGTTCTACGATGGGGAAACTGAGGCCCAGGAGACCATCCTGCCCAAGGTGCAGACCTGGGCTCTCTCTCTCTGCCAATCACAAAGACCCTTTCTTTTCCTGTATTTCAGTCTGTTAATGGTCTCTCTCTTCCTCCCTGACCTTTTCCTGCCCAAATCTGACCATCTGGCTCTGGCGGGAACTCCAGAACCTGGCTTGTAAACCACCCCGACAAACATAAAGCCAGCAGTCCCACCACCACCACCTGAGGTCCCCCCTACCGCCACCAAGGGTATCCCTGCAGCGGCTGGACCCCTGCCGTGGGTGTGGCTGGGGCCCTCCTTCCCTGGAGCAGAAAAGGAGTAGAGAAAATAAAGAGGTCCAGATTGTGCTGGGAGCTGCTAATTAAAGGGCAAACCAACCTACCATTAATTTGGTCCTGGGAAAGAAACTTGGCCTGCAGCAGAGAGAGGGAGACAGTCAGGGCAAGGTTCTGTGAGAGGCCCTCCCCACCAGGCTGGCCACGGGTCCCCACTTTACCATCGTGGGGCTCCCGCTGTTCTCAGAACCAGCTTCTCAGTTCCTTTTCCTCTGGCTTTGAGTTGAAAGTCCGCCAAGCTGGGTGGAGGCCACAGTAATAAATCCTCTGCTGCCATGGAGACCGGGCCCTATGCCACCAGGGTCAGATTCCAGCTTCCCGTGCATGGCGGACGTCTGGCCAACCCAGGCAGGTTGATTTTGAGGAAACGGCCACAGAAGGGCTCTTGTGAGACTCAGGGCCCCTGATTCTGGAGGTTGATGCTCTGTAGCAAGTGAACCATTCCCAGACTCTGAGAGGGGACATTAAAGAACAGAAAGGTAGCCCTGGGGTAGGGCTGAGTCTGGGCCTGCCTCAGGGAACTTGTCTCCCTCTGACAAGCTCCCTCTTGGAATTGGGCACTGCACACACTCTCCCTGATGACTTGTCACCCACTACCCTGCAGAGGAATGGAGCCTGTCCTGGATGGGCCAGCTCAGAGTCTGGGTCTCAGCCTTGGGGGATGGATTGCAGGAACACAGGCCTCAGTACACTGGGGCTGGGATCCAATCTTCCCACCTGCTGTTCCTAGTCACTGCCTCTCTGTGCCTCCGTTCCCCCCTTGCCAGGCCGCATTACGGGTTGCTAGGAGAATCAACTAGCCAGTGCCCAGCTGACTCCCATCCTTTGCCAGCTCTCCCACCTTTCAGGCCCCTGGGAGTGTCTGTGGGTGGCCAGGCTGCTGTCCAGCCCTGCGTCTACCTACTCAGTGCGTCCTCTCAGGTGACCCTCCCCTGGCTAGGAAGGCTCCTCCACTCTTCCTTCCCCTTCTCTTTCTAGCCACCTGCTACACAGCCTGCTGACTCCCAAGGGCTCCCATCACTCACAAAGGACAGGGGCAAGTGGACACCCTAGAGCCACTGGGTGCTGGGCAGAACTGGGTTCTCAGCCTTGTCTTGTCCCCTTTCCCTGGGTTGGCTGTGGGTTCTAAATCCAAGCTTTGCCCATGCTGTCAGGGCCATCAGGTTGTACCCTACACAAGGGGACCAGTGGGGTGTGGTGAGGGGCTGCTTGTTAATTTGTACAAGAGCCTGGCTTTGGTCCATTCTTCTCCCTCCTTCCTGTTCTGACCACCTCCATGTGAAAAGTTCTCCTTTCTCCCAAATTGCCTCCTGAGTCACCTCTTCAAACCTCTGTGGGACCCAGAGAATTTGGCTAGAAGGTTCTGGTTCCTCCCTGTAGCCTAGGATGGGCCCACGGTGGGTGGGTGGAGTACAGAAGGTGAGAGGCCTGCTCAGAGGAGCTTCAGGAGGAGACAAGAGAGGGGAAGTCAGCAGGGCTTGGAACGGCAGGCTAGACCTGGGCTGTGGGGCCTGGGACAGCCAGGCTGAAATGTTCTCCCCAGATCACCAGCATTGGGGAGGGGCTGGGAGCAGGGAGCCATTCCCTGGGGTTTAGGTTGGTGTGTGTTCTGGTGAGCTGTGTGCCCCAGGGCCTGCCATTCTTACCAACTCCCCTTACCCTTGTAGGTCTCCAAGGGGTCTCACAGATGATGAAGAACCTGCTTTGGGGCTGTGGTCTCAAGAAGGTTCACCACACACAAACTCAAGCTGCCCAGAGCACCGGGTGCAAGACGCAGCAAGTCCAATCAACAGCCCACACCTCCGGTACCACCTGAGGCCTGAGTTTGTTCACTTTATTGTTGAACCTTGGCCCCTCTTGGGAGCCTGGCACCTCCCCCTGCAAACCCTGGCTTCCTCTGGGTCCCTTCTCCCCGCCCTTCATTCTCTGGACCCTCACAAGAAGGGTTCCAGGCCAGGGGAAGCTCCTCCTCCCTACACCCCCTGGCCCAGGATACTTTGTCCAAGAGGTTCCCAAGCAGGACCCCTGGGTCCCAACGTCTAACACAGGTGTCGTTGGAAAAAGCTCTAGGCTCCTGCCCACAGCCCCCACTCCTATCCTTCCCAGGAATGCAGGAGTCTCCTCCTCTCCATCTTGCACTGTTCCTGAGCCAAGCTCTCCCCATGAGGGCTTCCCACTCCACACCCAGGGGCCAACAGAGTAGCTAGCCCCAGGGACCCGGGGAACATAGTGTTGGCAGGCTTTGTGCACTCCTGCTGGGAAAAGGACCCAGAGATAGCCTTCAGAGACCCACTGGCTTTTGCTTTCCCCTGTCCTGTGTGCCCCAGAGTGGAAGGCTCATGAAGTCTAAACTTCAGGCCTCTACTTGATTGAACAGTGTCCCAGAATTCATATCCACCTGGAACCTGTGACAGAACTTATTTGGAAGTCTTTGCAAATAGAATTTAGATGAGGTCATCCTGGAGTAAGGTGGATCATAACCCAAGGGAGGGATCTGAGAGACATGCAGGGAAGGGCTACAGAACCACAGAAGCAGAGCTGGGTGGTTTCACAAGCCAAGGAACACAAGGATTGTCTGTGTCCCACCAGAAGCCAGAATAGGTAGAGAAGGATCCTCCTGCTGAACACAGCCTTGCCAACACCTGGATTCTGGACCTCTAGCCTCCAGAACTGAGGATAAACTGTTTTGAGGCTATTAAGCTTGTGGGCTGGGCTGTACGTAGCTCAGTTGGTAGAGTGCTTGCCTTGCATGCACAAGGTCCTGGTTTCAATTCCCAGCACCACCACCACACACAAAAAAACTCACAAAGGCCACATGTTCGCACCTGGCACACTGGCCCCTGCACCCTGTGGTTGGATCACTTAGATGCCACAAGACAGACTCAGAAAGTCTCCATGGGGTAGGCTGCCTTGCTCCTCCCCAGTTCTCTGGTGAAGTGGAGGCTGCAGGTCTGGGAACCACACTTTGAGTAGCCAGGACCTGGATTGGCAGTTCCCCAACGGGAGCCCACATAAGAATCACCTGCAGCCTTGTCTCCCGGTTCTTATTTAGCAGTGTGGGCAAAGCTGTGCATTCTCCTGTGCGTCCTAATGTACTCTTGAGAATCACTGGCCTGTGGCTTTTCTAGGCAATGAATCAAGACATCTTTCCAGGAAAACATCCCCAGCAAAGTGCCCAAGAGATCTCAAGAGGGACAGAAATCTTCAAGGCTCCAGTGATTTATTGCTTTCCCTTTCTGAACATCCACTTTCTTGCTTTCCTTTTTCTTTAGCAGTGGCTTCCCAATTTGAATAAGATCACACGGACCCCACCACGAGGCCTGCCTCTGCTTACGAGAGGTCCATAAAGTCCAGCATCCTCGAGGTGGGGAAGGAAGCAAAGGAGTGTGGTGGACAGGTGGGGACACAGGACACATGGATGGAGCCGTCTCCTGCCTGGTGGGCCTTTTCAGTGCTGTCCGACATTAGCCCACAGTGGCTGTGTGGGAGGCTGAGATCTTTGAATATTAAGGGCTGAGGCCTGTAGAGGTCAAATGACTTACCTACGGCTAAGGGACACCTCCAGCAAGCCAGCCTCCCTTCATCTCCCAAAAGGCAGCACAGCTGGGAGGCCCAGTGGGCCATCCCAGAGGGGCAGGTTAGAAAATGCCCCATCCAATTCCTCCTAAAAGAGCTGGACTGGTCAGGATGAAGAGGCTCTTCTTGCCCCTCACCGACAGGAGCCTACCAAGTGGTGTACAGAAACAGTGGGCAGTGACCAAACAAGGCTGAGTAGCCCAGGACTGCTGCTAGAGGGAACCGTGGGCTCTAGCCTGGGCCCCAGGCCAGCCAACCTCTCCCCCACTCTAGAACCCCCTCTCCCCCACTTCACACCTCAGAAATAGCCGCCAGCCAGGCTGGGTACCACACCAGCCTCTATTCATCCTCTTCTCACCCAGGGCTGCCAGCAGGCAGGGATTGGCCCAGGGTCTGGGGGACCCTTGGTCGGGGGTGTGGGCCCCAATGTGAGAAGGGAATCTCAGGCCTGGGGTGAGACAGGGCAGACCCCTGAGGCCACAGTCCGCATGGGCCAGTGGAGCTGGGGAATGAGGCTGCGGTGCTCTGTGCTGCGAGGGTACCTGGACCTGGGGGAAGGGGGCTGAGGCAGGGCTCACCATGCTGGGAAGGAGGCCTCCTTTCTCTGGGAGCAGGGCCACTGGCAGAAGGCCAGTGACTTAGGCTGAGACAGGGCTGAGTGTGGAAAGCCATGAGGAGCCCTGACCCTACAATGTGACTCAGGAAACTGAGCCAGGGTTTCAGATCTCCTTCCACGGCAGCTCAAAAACCCATAGCCAGCTGTACTCCACGGGTGCCGTGACTGTCCTGGGGTGGGGGCTAGACCTGCAGGTGGGCCTACATTGCCAGGCCCAAAGCTCAGGCTGGGCCTCTGGCTCCCTGGGGTGAGGGTGGCTCTGAGGTCAGATAAGGATTTGGGGTACACATACCCCCTCCCCGGCTGGAAGAGGGTGGTGACAGGATGGAAGCACCCACCCATGACAAGGCTACTATAAAGAGTCAGCAAATCCAGAGCACTGAGCCACTTTGGGACCATGGGCCTGTTAGCACAAATGAGGCCCTGCGGGGAGAGGTGCTTTGCTCAACAATATAGAGAAAGTTGGCATGACCTACGTCCAGGGTCAGCACAGGCCTGAGGATGAGCAGGTGGCAAGCGGTGCGTCCTTGCTGCATTACCCTCCACAGCCCATGTCTCCCAGTGACACAGCCATGGCTTTTGCCCCGGATTCAGTGCTGACTGCTGACGTGGAGGGTGTAGAAGGCCCAGGGCTCAGGGACATAGATGACGCCTGGGTACTTCTTCCTGAGTACGGGGTCATTCCACAGCCAAGCGACCCAGAGCGCCACCAGTGAGAGGGTGAGGGTGAATGAGTAGAAGAGGAAGAGGCCGTTGCTGTCCAGGAAGAGGCACCTGCGCTTCTGGTGCAGGACGAGGGCCAGCATGGCAAAGAAGGTGAAGATGAAGAGGATGAAGATCTGGCCTTCAGTGACCAGGTACCTGGAGAGACGGACCAGGGGTTGAGTTAGACGGTTGCTGCGGCAACCCCACCCTGCCCGGCCTCCCTCCCTGGACCTGGGCCAGGCTGCCCTCCCAGGAAGTCAGAACAGCTCATGAGGTGAGAGGCTGCAGCCCGCCGTGGTGTGCTGGTTTGGCCTGTACTTACCACCTATAAAAGTTTTGAGTTCATTGCTTATGTTTAAATGAGAGAATATCTACAAATGGCTTCTCTGGTCACATCAGAATATTTCCACTTGACAATAACTGACTAGAGCAGAAATCAGCTGTCCCTGCCAGTCTCTACAGCCCCACCTGTGGCCTGTTGGCTGCCTGTCCATCACCTGCGTAGTTTCTTGGGGATTTGGGTTTGGGAATGCAGTTGCAATTTGTGGCAGCTGTCATTACTGTCTCCCTGAAGGCTGGGGCATGGTCTCAGATCTCCCAGAGATGCTGCGGCACCCCATGGCAGTATGGAGCCCATGGCCAGCTCAGTGGCACTTGTTGAGGGCTTCTGCAAGGTTACCCGCTTATTCTCTCACTGCTGACTTCGGGGAATTTAAGTGACACCTTGGTACCTCTGTTTTCAAGTGCCAGGCATCTCTTACAAGAAGAGCACACTGTTCAACAAACGGCTGCTGCTCCCACCACAGCCACCGTTGCACCAACTCACCAGAGGTAAGGAGCAGGCAGGGGTCTAGCCTCCTTCCCTCTTGCTGTAAATGCCACTGTTTCTTTCAACCCTGGCCTCAGGGAGCATACAGATCAGCCCTGGTGGGGCCTGAGTAGGCCCTGGAGGTGGCTGGAGCTGGCTCAGAGAAGTAGGGACCCTCTTCATGTTTAAATGGGCTTCCAATCAGAGGGGACCCCTGGGTCCTTTGCAATACCACAGCCCAGGCAGCAAGAGGTACTGGTCTCCAGGGCAAGAAGGTCAGAGCCTGGTTGAGATCTGGGTCCTCTTTAAGGGAAACAGGAAACCAGGCAAAGTATCCTGAGGTCCTGGTCTTTCTCCTCGTCTGTCCTTTTCATGTCTGTGGTGCTTCATAGTTTGCAAAGCCCCTTTCCCTCCCCTCCCCACATCCTCACGATCTTCTGGGGGAGACAGGCAGGTATCACCTCCATTTCACAGAGGTGGACACTGGGGCCCAGTGGGCTCTGCAGGGCCTGGGGTTTGAGGTGGCTCTACTGGCCTCAAAGTTGGCATTGGGGTTCTGGGAGGTGGGGAGAGGGGCAGAGGATAGAGAGACTGTGCAACTCATTCTCCTGACCTGTCATACTCAGGCCTGGGCTTCCTGGGAGCGGGCGCCACCAAGGCACTTCCATAGCCCCTACTAGACCTAGAAGGGAGCAGGGACCCAGAAAGGGCCATTCTCAGCTGGGGCCACCACAGGTCTGTGGTCAGGTGTGGATTTTTACTATGGTGGCTAACTTGGCCCTGCCCTGTCTCTGCCCCCAGATCCTAATGAGCACTCACCAGTAGTACAGGCCACTGGGTGCCACCAGGAGCAGGGCAGGCCCTGGCATGGAGTTCCCAGCTTTGGAGGCAGTGAAACAGCCACTGAAGTACATGAAGAGGATGAGGAAGAAGGGGATGTACCTGCGACAGAGAGGCTGTGTCTTAGAGGCCTGCCCGGTGGCCCTGGCCACCAGCTTCCATCCAGGTCTCCTTCCCCACCATCCTTTCACTGGTTCCTTGCATTGTCCCAGGTTTCAAAAACACTTGGCTTGGGTGAGGGATGTACCTCTGCACCCGGCCTTCCCAGCACTGGGAGTCAAGGGTCACGGGTGGGGCAGGACCAGAAACAAGATGGCGAGGCTCATGCCAGTCAGAAGCCCATAGGCTCCACACTGCCCTGGCCACCTCATCCACTCCGTGGCGGAGAGGGTATAGGCCTGTGGGTCTGTCTTATGCACATGCTCAGACACCAGCAGCCTCAGTTCTGCACTGGCCTGGAAACGCTGGTACCCAGGAAGGCTGAGGATGAAGAACACACTGCTGGAGCCTCCAAGGTCCACTGTGAAGCTCTTCACCCACTTACTCCCAGCTCGCAATCTCATCCGAAAGTTCACCTTCTCTCCTCCCCTTTCTCCCACCTGTACACATACACACACACACACAATTTTTTCTGTTCCGTTTCTTCTCTCCCCTTCCCGACATGGCCCATTTCTAGCTGGTTCCCCAGGCCTCTTTCTTTGCCCCTCCACCCTTTCCAAACCTTCCATGGGAAGGGTCTTCAGGCAAGGCCAGGGAAAGCAGGAAAGTGGCCTGTCCAGGGACCCCCAAGGCCCCCTGAGCCAGAAGGGTTCACTTCATGCCCTGAAAACAGACCCATAACACACGTGGCCTGGGTGAGCCCACGCGGCTCAAGCGTGAGTCCCCAGGCCCAGAGCTGGCCTCCTCTCTCTGGCCTTTTTATCTTTTGCAGGGCACAGGGTGGCAGATGGCACTGCCCAGCTTGAGCCCTGAATCTCCTGAGGCTGAGCCACATTTTTGAGGTTTCCCTCTGACTGCAGTGAGGGGGGATGGGGAAAAGGAGTTCCCCTGGGAGTTAGGGGGGGGGAATGAGGCACAAACGGCACCCCCCACCTCCACTCCGTCCCCACAACCTAGTCCTGCTGCTTCTCAGCTTCCCATTCTCAAAGTGCACTGCCTGACCCAGGTAGGGGTCCCTTCTCCAGCCCACCCCATTATGGTTGAGGATGCGGGTGTTGTTTATCAAAGCTGCCACCTCCTTCCTCCCCACCGGCGGGAGCCAGGCTGGGTCAAAGCTGGACAACATCCTCTCGCTGCCCTCTCGTGGCCTCCATGGGCACTGCAGGCAGGAAGAAGGAAGCAGGACCTTGGCCACAGGGCAGCAGATGGGGTCTCTGGTAGGCTCACTCAGCGTCCCACTCGCAGCACCCTCACAGGGGAAGAGAATACCATCCAGCCGCTCCACCCAACACATGGAGATCCAGGGCCCAAGTCCTGCGTCCTGGGCCCTGGAATGGACAGAATGTCC